AAGAATATTACTAGTAGAAAATAGGAGGACCAATAGCTTATCTAGTCCTTGTATGAAGGGAGATGTAAAAATCCCATATGGGTTGTAACACCTTGGGTATAGGTAGGAAGATAAGACTAAGGCCTCAAGGCCTCTTTAGACAGCCCATATACACTACTTGAGAGCCTTGGTGAAGCTTGAACTCTTGATCTGTTGAGCAAGTTATCATTGAAGAAAAAATTATTTACTTAATTTTTATTTATTTATTTGTTATTTTTTAAATCTTCATAACTTACTTATAATAACTAGGATTTATATATTTTTTATACCATCGAAAAGATAAAAAAATTGAATTTCTAAATATATATATATATATATATATATATTTATTAGATAAAAACTCAATAAATAGATTGTGACTAGTTTTATAGTGTACAATTGCTTGATTGCATTTATTCCAATTGTTTTGTATTTTGCTTCTTTTCTTCTTGTTCTTGTTCTTGCTACTTTAACTTCACACCACCTATTACAAACAACTCTTGATTGAGGCGATCTTGTAATTGGGTTAAGGAGTGAATTTTACACTCATAGAGGCCGGCCAATATTCGAGTGGAATTTAGAATAGAATTAGATTAATTTGTCTAGGATTTGATTTTGGATTTAATTAAGATTTTATATAGAATTTACTTAAGATCCATTAGGATTTCAATCAAAATTAAAGTATGCTTTGATTAGGATTTATTTAAGATCCATTAGGATTTCAATTAGAACTAAAATAGGATTTAATTAGGATTTATTTGAAAATTATTTAAGATTTCTCTAATAGTTTTTTAAAATTTCTTTATGTTTCTTTTGTAATTTCTTTGAAATATCTTTTGATTTGATTAAAGCTTGATTATCATTATTAGGATTTAATTAGAGTTTATTTAGGATTCTATTAGAGTTTTTAGGATCTTTTTGTTGCAATTTTCCTTCTATCCTTTGTGGCGAGTTGCTCGGTGTATTTTTAAGCAAGACTTTACTTAATATGACACCAAGTATCAATTTTTAAAAAATTGAGGTAATTTTTGCTTTAATCTATTATTAATTCTCTCTTTGACATGCATATAATAATCTCTTATCTTATTTATCTTAATTTGGCTTATTCATACTTCTAAAAAATAAATAAATTTTTTTCTTTAAAAAGTAATATTAAGACTAAATCTTTTATTACCTTTCTTTAATTTATTGTTATTTTTCTATTACATCTTTCTATAAGGTTTTTCTATAATAATATCCATATTTTTATTTTTTATCATATAATCATGTCATTATATGATATTATATGGACTTTTTTAGCTATTACATATACTTAAACAGCTATAGTCTTTTTTTTTAATATATTTTATTATAGATCTTTTAATTTCAAATTTTTATAACTCAATATTTGTGATAATAGATTATTTTATCAAGATGGCACATTTTGTATCATATATAAAATTTATCACATAAAAAGAAATAATTAAACCTATCTTCAATAATATTTATTGCTATTATGGATTGTCAAGGCATATTGTATTAAATTAAATGACTAAATTTATATTAAGATTTTAGAAAATTCTTTTTAAGATTTTGAAGATAGATATAAAACTATCTTTAATTTTCCATCCTCAAATTTATGAACAAATAAAACAAATGAATTAAGTTTTAGAGCTTATTTGAGATATACTATCAATTACTATGAAAATGATTGGATAATTCTTATTCTATTGGCAAAGTTTACTTGTAATGAGATGATACATTTTTCTATTCAATACACAACTTTTTATATAAATTATAGTTATCATTCAAGACTTGATACTTTTGACTTTTCAAAAGTTGATAATTCTATAGCAAAAGATTTAATAAATTATTTATCAAAGATATATGCAACATTGAATGCATAATTAAAGGAAGCTCAAAAACAAAAATAGATCAATGTAGATGTATAATGTAAAGAATAATATAAATTCCACATAGGCAATAAGGTATGGTTATTTTGTTGTAATATCAAGATTATTTACTCTTATCATAAGTTATATTATTGTAGACTTAAATCATTTTTTATTTATAAATAAATCAATTTATTTTATTATTAAATATATCTATTAAAGTTTATAAAGATCCATTTCATATTCTACGTATTTCTTTTAAGCCATACAAGATAGTGGATTTAAAAGAAAAGGAAAAAAATATTTTCTCCTCCTATAGAATGAATAATAATCAAGAGTTTGAGATCAAAGAAATCTTAAATTGAAGGCAGTACAAAAATAAGTTGAAATAACTTATACATTGGCATGGATATAATATTAATAAATATACATCAAAGCTATCCAAGAAATCTTGTAAATACACCAAAGAAGGTTGATACTTTTTATCAATGACATCCATTTAAATCAAAATGAAGAATCATAATATGATTATTGTAGCTTATAGAACTTGCACTTAGAAGGGAGAATAATTTCATGAACATACATAATTATTAAGATAAGAAGTGTTAGATTGAAGATAAATATTGGTAGATTTGATAATATATTATAGAAAAGCTTTATAGGGATGAATTTAACTATATATATATATATATATATATATATATATATTTGTAGTTGATTAGTAGGTTAGAAACTTAGTCGACAAGTTGACCACATGTTGTACATGTTGACAACTTGTAATACAAATTGGTCATATAATGCATATGTAGGAAATTTATTTAATGAGTTAGACACATGTTTTGCAAGTTGGATATATGTTGGAGGTCCAATAGAATATTGCCATGTAACTCCTTGTTAGATAGTATATATGGAAGCAAATGTAAAGCCTTTTTTATTCTTGCCAATGCTTTTTTTGTTCTTAAACTTGTTTCAAGAGTCGTTAGTCTTTTTGTCTTTTATAAAGTTATTTTAGTTCTAATATATTATTATTTTTTAAGAAATATATATTCTTTCCAAATAACCTAAGAGTGTATTAAGGCTTTTATTGGTTTTGATTCATCTCCTTGATCCATATAGAAAAAACTTTATTATTGTTTGATTTGATTTGATTTGATTTTAAGAAAACATTATATACAATTATTGTAATATTTTTGGATTAACTTATAAATATTATTAAAAAGATTATATCTGTATAAGTTTATATTTAGCTTTACTTTTTAGATTTATATAAAGTTTCTTATTAAATCATTAATTTATTAATTTTATTTTACTGAAATATCTTTTATGTGTATATTTATTATTTGTTTAAAAATAATAATATGTTTATTTAAAATCAATCTAACAATCTAACATGAGTAATGTTACATTCCAATCTAGATGATATTGACTACAAAACCTTACCTTATTTAGAATAATATTGAAATAAAATCATGTATTATGGAGAGTTTATATGTGCAACTATCTTGTGTAATTATAATGTGTAGTATGTTTCAATTTCCACCAATTAACAACTAACATGTATATTTATTAATATTATCATATAAATATTAAAGAACATCTAAAAAAACCATCAAATTTATTTATAATATTAAAGAAGAATAAAATGATATATATATATATATATATAGATATATTTTGTTATGATTGATAATCTCACTATTTTCATATACAATAATACTACATAATACAATGTAATACCTAGTTAATTAATTTGTAATTGTACAACATAGTAAAAAACTAATTTTTTAAAAAAATGTTACACTTAAAATTTCAACCATTATTTAAAACCCAATGCTAAAATTTTATTTAATATATATTCTCACATCTACATTTCAATTGAAATCAATGCAAAATTAGTATTTAAAAATAAGACGTCCATTATTTTTGTATATATATATATATATATATATATATATATAAATATATATATATTCCATTTCCAAAAACTTCATTGATAACACATGTTATTTTTCAATGTGATCACAAGGCAAAATTTGCATCATATACTTATTATTTCATTAATACTTGAAACCAAGTTATTCAACATTCAAAATAATAATAATAATAATGACATATACATACAATTAAAACATGTATGTACCTCCTCACCAGTGAACCAATTGTCAATGCGTTGAACAGGAAGCAAAACGAACAAATAAACAAAAGGTAACTCACAAATCAGTAAACCAGAGGCACCGTTTTTTTCTACCACTGCACAGCAACCAATATGGAACCTCATGGATTGAACACAAACTGTCAACCCTTACCCCCTCATCCAGTCGATCCATCCAAATCAATTCCAACAAAAAAAAAATACCAATTAACAATGATAACAATAAAACAATTAAAAAAAAAAACAAAAAAAAACAAAAACGAAAACAAAACAGAAGAGCAACTCATGAAAACTGAATGCTCTAGCAAAGACACAGAATCAGTGAAACTCCACAACACTAAAACCCAGCTACCATTCCAACACAGTGTACAAAAAAGAAAAAAGAAAACTCAGCACTCGTCACTGCAAAGCTCAAGACCAACATGCAGATGTTACTACTACTAATCATAGAAACGTTACTTCAAAACACAGTGCGAAGGAGTTAGTAAGCAAAGAGGAAGGGCAGCCAGCGAGCAAGAGAGAGAGCAATGGAGACAGAGCCCACACAGCCATGGGGGGGACCCTCATGGAGGCAGTCCTCCTGGTCGTCCCGTACACTCACTCTCTCTTTCTTCCAGACCGTCAAGCACGAGGCTATTGAAAAAGCACCACCCAGTTGGAATGGGGGGAGGGGGAGAAGAGAGAGCTTCAGTTGAAAAGCGCGCGGGGAGAGAGAAAGACCTCGGGGGTGGGGACTGGGGGGTGGGACCCACATGAGGGAAGGGGAAGGGAAGGGCAGGGAAGAAGGGAGAGGCGCCATCATCATCGCGGCAGCAGCAGCATCAGCTTCGAGCCCTCGCGAAACTCTGCAAAGCGGTGCGTCAGCGCGGCGAATGGCGGCTGAGCGCGTGGCATCCGCCACACGCGGGGTCACATCGCCCACGGCAGCAATGGCGTCACAAAGGCATCGTAGAAGGAGGAAGTGGGGAAGGAGGGGCCGCACCACCCAATCCGAAGAGGTGAGCGAGCGAGCGAGCAAACGAGCGCGACCAACACGATGATGCTGATGATGATGATGCTGATGGTGTAGCCCAATCACGACAGTGCGTAAGGGAATACCCCTCGCGGCAGTGGGCGCGGTGGCAGGGAAGGGAAGACGAGCAGGAGGAGGAAGAAGAGAGAGCGGGGCTTAGCGTAGCATAGCTTAGCGACGGGGTGGGTGTTAGTCAACGCAGGTGCTACTAACTGTCAGACTCAGCTAGCTCTCGAGGTGCATAATGGCTGTTGTGCCCATTCCCCTCGCTGCCATCCGCACCCCACTCTCTCCAATTGCCGTGGGCGCTGCTGCAATTTGACTGATTATAGATTGACTTATAATACGTGAACCCGGGTGTTTATTCGGTCTTGTGCCTTGCGCCGGTTTCGGTGTTGTTGAGTAGAGTCGGTGTTAGTGTGTGTCTTCATGGTGATTGGGTTTTGGGCTGGGAGGGAGCGTGGGCAAGCGGGATGATGGATCGCTTGCTTTAGCTTCGGTGTGGTGGGGTGGAGTGGGCAGCGGGTGCTCTGGCAGTGGGACGGAGTAAGTTCCGCTTTTAGTTGCGTCTTTCAAGCTGGTTTGGACCTTTAAAGGTGGCCTGACGTCTGCTGCTTCCATTTGTCGTCTGGTATACGTGAGCCCAGAGGAGTAAGGGTTTGGGTGTTGGTCGTTTGTGGTCGTGGGATCAATCTCTGTGGCGGTGTGACGTGTGTTAGGTGGGAAGCAACAGGAGGTGGGCTTGTTGAGCTGCGGAGTATGGAAAAAAGCGGGAAGGTGACGTGAGAGCTGGAATGATGGCCGAGTGAGCGTGTTTGTTTTGAGGGGGTAATTAGATGGGAAGATAGAGGTCGGATGAGTCTGGGCGGTTTGCGTAGAGACGTCAAGGAAAAGGAAAGTGGCGAGGTGTAGGATCTTGGTGGATTTTTCTCTCCTGAAGCTAGAGACTTCCGGTGCAGAATGTGGTTAAATGGAACTCAACAGGTGGAATTCATGACATGGAAACCTACTGGGTCTTGTTTGGAATACAATCTCACGCTGTCGACTTCTCTTTACGTCATTTTCTTAGGTTCAGAGATATAGTAGAAAGGTTTGTGGAATTATCAAGATGGGTGACAACAGTGCAAGTGCAAGGACGGATTCATCTTCTGACATGGACGGTGATGCGAAGGTATGCGACTGAACGGCATCCTGGTGATTGACCTCGCGGATGCCCAATCTCCTAGGTTCTGACACCTTAGTTGGCTTCCATTGATTGCGTGGTCGTCAGCTCATACTGCGTATTGCGTGATTATGAGCTTATGTATAGCATTTTTGAATTAATTTTTTTTTTTTTTGATCTCCTCCATGAACTTGTGGCAGTTGGATGATGGGCAGCATTTAGCTAGTGGCGGTGGAAACTCAAACGATTCCAGTCTCGAAACTGGAACGAAGAATGGCGATTCTAAGGTACGATTGCGTATGCTGGATGCCGTTTACAACACAAGAAAACTGTTTGATTTGTAGTTGATGACTTTGTTCCTTTCTTCTGTGATGAACATCGTTGTCCACACCAGCAGAGGATATCTGAGTATGAAAATCGTCAGAAGCTTTGCTTCGTAGGCAGGTTGTGATGATTTTGCAAAGTTCACCTCCTTATGTAGGACCGCCGATGTGGTGCAGGTACTAAGGCGGTTAGCACAAAATCGTGAGGCAGCCCGAAAAAGTAGGCTCAGAAAAAAGGTGAGCGATCAAACTGGTGGACAAGTGCACTCCTGATTGCACAAAGGAAGACATCACATGTTTGCACTGTGATGGCAGTGACAAATTGTTGGTTTATGGTTCAGGCATATGTGCAGCAGTTGGAGTCCAGCCGCATAAAGCTGAACCAACTCGAGCAAGAGCTTCAAAGAACTCGGCAACAGGTTTGTCCCTCCACATCATTCTTGTTGCATTTGTGCAATATATACATGAAACCTCACACACGCACTCAAAGATACCATTACTTGCTTTATTTGAAGGCTGTTAAACTTTAGTTCAGGGCACGTTGAGAACACGTCAAATTAATCGCTAATTAGTTAATTGAGTAACTTTCCAGCATAATCATCAAAGTCGGACAAGGTGAACCTTCCAGGCCACTTTTGAAGTCCTAAGCGCGGGCGCTTGAGTTCTGCAGTAGTCTTGATTTGATTGTTAGTGTAGTTTTAGGATGCCCACACTCTGTATTTGGTCATTGCGTTCCTCCTGTCTTAGTCCACCATTGGGTCCATCTGCCATGTTAGCTATTTGAGGATTATGATTATGCGCGCAGAACTCGCGTAAATTTTTAGCTTTGCAGCCTTGGAATTTGATTCTTTCCCTTTTCTCGTTCTCGTTCTGAATCGGAGTGCGGTACATTTTTGGTTTTCTTTAGCAGGGTCTATACCTTGGACCTGGTTCGTACAGTGACCAAAATGGTCAGTCGGGTGGAGTTGGTGGAGCAAACGCATATAGTTCAGGTCTTTTGAATCTCATTTGGCATGGACTTGTCATGTTTTATTTAACCTTTTGAGTGTGCTTACAAAGCAGAATATTTTACTCTTAGTTCTCCCTATTTAGGTTACTGCTTAGCTATTAGTGGAAATCAGAGTCTCGGTTTCTAATTTTGCGAGGGTGACTTGGGACAGCAGGAGCTGCTGCATTTGACCTGGAGTATGCAAGGTGGGTTGAAGATCATACCCGGCAGATGAGTGAGCTCCGGGTGGCCCTACAGGCTCATGTCGCTGACGCTGATTTACGATTACTAGTGGATGGGAGTATGGCCCACTATGACGACCTCTTTCGGCTCAAGGACGCTGCTGCAAAAGCCGACGTGTTTCATCTCGTGTCCGGCATGTGGAAAACTCCTGCAGAGCGATGCTTTGTATGGATTGGAGGCTGCCGACCCTCTGAGTTACTAAAGGTGCTGATTCTACCTATGCTATAAGCCACGTTGAAATAATTCCCGGCACCTACTAGCTTTGACTTATTGAACACATGTATCATTTTAGTAGCAGCAGGTCTTTTTCCATCACCCTGATGCCTGACATGGTGGCATCAAGTATGTTTATTTATTTATTTATTTTTTGTTGTTGTGTGCAGATATTAGTACCTCAAATAGAACCTTTGACAGAGCAGCAGTTGTTAAACATCTGCAATCTGCAGCAGTCCTCTCAACAGGGTGAAGAGGCCCTCTCTCAAGGGATGGAACAACTTCAGCAGTCGCTTGCCGAAACACTGTCTGCCGGTTCTCTTGGCTCAGCAGCAAATGTTGCCAACTACATGGGACAGATGGCTGTGGCCATGGGACAACTTGGGAACCTCGAAGGTTTCGTGCGTCAGGTACGTACTTTATCTGAAATTGATTGCTGTATGCTTCTTTAAATATCCTGTGAGTTGAATTTTAGAAGTATACTGCTTCTGTTCCTCTAATATTAAAGATAGGTCTCTCTGCATTTCTGTAGAGCATAATTGTGTTTCTTTTCGTCAGCTGCTAAGTTTTTATTTTCATCTTTAGAAAGGTAATTTATTTATCTTTTAATTTTGAGTTTACGTTCTTAGATTGACTACGTACGTGAACAGGCTGATCATTTGCGACAACAGACGTTACAACAAATGCACCGGGTATTAACCATTCGCCAAGTAGCCCGAGGACTTCTTGCGATGGGTGATTACTTTGCTCGTCTTCGAGCTCTTAGTTCTCTATGGTCCGCCAGGCCTCGTGAATGAGAAACATTGTCGTTTCAGGCGATGGTGAAGTCTTCGGCGCAGGTATGGAAGCCACAACAGTCAGCACTCTTGGTCATGTACCCAGTTCTGATAGCACAGATTGCTGCGTAATTTCTTCTTAAACAAGTTCCAGTGATGGAGGGCTGTGAGCGTGGACGTGAACTTTGTTACAAGTTCCAAACGTAGCTTGAAAGCGCGTCACTTGTCTGCGGTTGCAACATTGGCAATAGTCATTGGTGGTTGGGAAAAGGAAAAGCTGTTAGGTGATTCGCTGGTCCTTGTTAGACTCATGGGAGCATTCTACTGTGACAACAAATGACTCGTTCCGGCCCACTGGTTCAAGTGTGGGGTGCAGAGCAGTTCTAGTATTTTGACCAGTGAAGTGAGCCCCTTGCCTGAGGGCTCGGAACGTACTCTAAAATTCCACGATTTATGTGCATTCCAGGAGTCCATGTAATTCGGATACTTTATACATTGTGTATATAATATGCTTACGATACATATGAATTTGCGAATTCAGTCTCGATTTTATATACATTGGTTCTTGGCTGTGAGTAAATTAGAGGTGTCTTGGTGCTTTAATAATGCCACAGGTGGTTATGTAGTATCTGAACTGGATTCTCTGGGTTTCCCAGTCGAGATAGTGATTCTCAGTGGAAAGACTGGGAAACCGGTGTCAACTCATCGACCACCACGCATGGATGTGAATATCATGTAACTATCTTGAAGGATGAACTTTATAGCTCGAAGTTATGAGAGGTGTAACTTTCGTCCGCGGTCAAGGGTTTTTAACAGTGAAGCAGAATCTTCTCGACGAGAACAGCACACAGGCAGCCGGAATAGTTCAACTAACGTGGCGGCTACTCTTATTCACCAAAACTACGTTATAGAGGACCCCCCCCCTCCCCCAAGAAGGCAACGTTCTTTCATGTCGGTATGGGTGATATTCATTGTATCAGAAAGGATTGAAGTGACCTACCTCGTACGCTTTTGTACAACGGTCTTGCCGAGTGCACCTACGGTGAAGCATCTCCCTACTCTTTTTCGCCTTGTTCTGTAGACGCACTATTCTGACACCGAAGCTAGGGATATTGATCCGATTCCAGTTGATTCGTCCGACCTGCATGCAGCAAATACTTTTTCATGCCCTTGCCTTTTATGACTTCCACTACCCGCACCTTTCGGACCAGTCCGTACAAAATCGCTGCACTGGACCCTTCCGATCTATTCGGGAACTACTGCCACTGATGTGTCCAGATCATCTAACCCCGTGTTTGGTACGTGATTAGGGGTCTGCAGCACCGTGCATTCATCCATCAACTAGGATAGGAAACTGTACTTAGGCTTGGATACGACAACTGGGACCATCTTACGCATTGGCTGGGCCAGGCCCGAGGGTGAGCAACATCTACATCTAAGCTCTGATAGCTTGATTACAAATGTTGCCGTCACATGGTTTTAAAAAGCGTAGGCACCGTTGTCCGCTCAGACAACCAAAACCATGTCCCCAACTCAATATTCAACATGAATCAACTACCGATACCACAGCAGATTTGCAAACTAAGTTTAGCATGAAGGCGTCCTGGCAGCACTAGCGTATTTTAAGCCATTCTCATGATAAAACTATCTTCCTTTCTATTGGAAGCAGCGGCCTTCCTCGGTGCTCTGTCTCAGGTATGTCATCCCGCAGCTTGGCGCGATGCGTCCGCAATGTATTTTGGAAGCCAGTTCACATACTAATGAAGACCCATTAAATGTAAACAAAACTTGATACTGGTGGCTCTGCCTGCAAGTAGCAACTGTCGTTTCGCCCTAATCTCAACTTTCTCCATATTGTGTTGTTTTTAGCACAAGATCATCCTTAAGTTGCGTGTCTAGATTAATATTGAAAGCCATCTTTGGTGATCTGAATTGGATTCTCTCTCCTGAGCCCATCAGTAGTCGCAATTGGCAAGCTAAGCCGGAGCAGGCACGATCACAGAACCAACATGAAAACCAGCATGTATCCAGTTGATGACTATCTCTGAAGGCTGTGGAAGTTGCTGCTGTAGGGCAATTAGATTGCGAAGGAGAAGCTAAACCTATCTGATATTTCTTTAGCACCGTACTTGGTCCTTTTAAGAAATAAAGTAGGTATGTGTACTTGATAGCTGATATATATTTTCATATCTTTATTTATTTATTTATTTATTTTGAAGTATTAAATTTTATTTAGAAGAAATATATTTGAGATGGTTGTACAGGAAGAATGTATTAATCATGATAAATGTCACAATATTTGAAATAGAGAGAGAGAGTATTTGAGATGTATTTGAAATAGAAGATTTTTCAAAGTCAAAGTGAAGAAATATTTTGAAATTATTTTTGCAAACAATGTCATGTAAATTTATTAGTTTATGAATATGAATTTTTATTTGAAGTCTTAACTTTAAATTTTACATTGGTAAGAAAGACATTTTGTCCATAAGAACCATTAGAATTAAAAGAAATAAAATTAAATCTCTTGGTCCAAAACTCAAGTATCTACTTATTAGGTTTTTAGTTTAAATTTTGGTAATGTAAGCATTTGCCAATTTAAAGCTTAGATACTTGCTTGTTAGACCTTTGATCTAGACTTTGTATCATAATGTCTTCTAATAATACAACTATTAGGTGAAAGAAGAAAGGAAATATTTTATTATAGAAGAATTTAGAAAATTATCTTAAAAATATAGATAATAAACAAAGAGATAATAAAAATTAATAAGTGATAATACTATAGCTTGTAGAAGAAACTTCTACTTATTTATAGGAGCATGAATGAACCAAATAAAAATAAATGAGATAAATAACTAATATAGGCATCTTTAGGAAGGAATTAAGAATAGGATTAAGTAAAAATTACTTCAAAATACCAAGAATTGATATCTAAAGAGGACTAGTTGTGAATCAAGGTCGAAATTAGACTCCAAGATACAAAATTATATACCTATAGTGACTCTAAGGATTCTTTAATTAATCAAAGAGCATGTAAAGAATATAAATCTCAAAAAAAAGAAAACTCAATACACTTTTGTGTCATTTGGAAAGAATAGAAAGTCACTCAGAGATGGTACTATATTGAATTAAAATAGTTATTGCTAAGACAAGAAAATTAGAAATTTTTGAAACAATCTAATTTTCTAATTTTTAATTAAATCTTTAATTAAATCCTAAATCTTAAATAATTTTTAATAAATCCTACAATAGATTAAAATTAAATAACTAATAATTGAACTATTATTTTTTATTCAAAATTTTTATACCTTGTAAAAATTAAGTTAGCAACAATCACAAAAAAATTAAAAAGATTGCACAAATCAAAATAGAAGATAAGCTCAAAACTCAGGGGTTGGTTGGCCTCCTTCTCCAATCTTGATGTTGATATTTTTGAGCCATAATCTTTTAATTTCACCATTTAATTTGTTCCAAATTTTTCATAATTCTCAAAAATCAAGCTAGTTATATTATATCAAAAAATCAATTCAATTGATAGATTGACAAATATCTTAGGAATCTCCACTGGTCCTCTAAATTCCATTTTTTGGGACTAAAATCTACAAAAATCTTCATATGCTTCAATCTAATTGCTCAATTGACCTCAAAATTTTCACATACATTTAAAACAAGCACGATAAGAAGTTATCTAATTTTTAGTTGTAAACACACTACAAAACTCACAAAATCTTAAAGTTTGTAGACCTATTTTGATATTTCAAAATCTAAACTCATTGAGTACATCATTAATTTTCAAAATATTTTAAAATCTCAATATTAATTCAAATAATATGAAATTAATACTTTAAAATATTTTTTCAAGTTTTTTCTTAAAAAACCACTCTTTGATTTGCAAAAGAATCCTGGAGTTGCCTTAGATATATAGTTTTGTGCCTCAAGGTTAGATTTTGACTCAGATTGACAACCAATCTTCTTTGGGTATTAATTTTTGATAATTTGAGATAATTTTTATTTTAATCTATTATTAATTTTCTTTTGAACATGCTTATTATAATTTCTTATCTCATTTATTTTGATTTGGCTTATTTATGCCTCTACAAAGTAAATAGAAATTCCTTCTATAAAAGATAGCATTAAGACTAAACTTTTTACTATCTTTTTATTATTTATCTTTATTTTTCTACTATATCTTTTTACTAGGCTCTTTTATAATAAAATTCATATTTTTATTTTTTACTATATAATTGTATTATTATACAACAATGTGGCAATATTCTATAGGACTTCCAATATGCATTAACTTTGCTAGATACATGTCTTAACTTGCAAGGCAAGTTTTCAATATATGTACTACACATATAGCTTGTTCTACAAGCTATCAATACGTGTGACATATGATTAACTTGTTGACCAAGTTTTTAACCTATCAATTAACTATAAATATGTATAAAGTCAAAATAATATCTATAAAGCTTCTAAGAAGTTTTTTTAAAAGATATTATAAAATTAATTTATTTTTATTTATTTTTATTCAATCATATAGATAATTATTAGAATAAATATGTATGTTGTTGATATTACCTTCTCTTCTAAGGATGAATTATATGAATAGTGGTGATCATATGTTAAAGAAATCGAAGATGCCACAAATTGTATTTGCCACATATTTTGATCTTTATTCTCTTTGAACATAGTTGATAGGTCCTCTCAACCATTGATAATATTTCATACTAGGATAGAAAGATCATTGTATTATTTGATCATTGTTAAGGCCTTTATAATTCTCTTTAAATAAAATATTTAGAACATTGTGTGAGCTCTCAATTATACTCTAAAATTTATTTATTTTTTATTTTCTTATTTTATGATAATTGAGCATGTTAGATTAAGAATTATATAAGTAGAATTCAATTTTATAGAATTATTATAATTACAACCCTTAATGGTATAAATTATAGCCTAATTCCTTGAATTAGATTAATGAGGACTAAAGTGATAAGAGTTAGAAATTAGAATAGCAACTTAATTAGTTTAATAATTTAGAGGTTGTTAGTCATTACTATGAGGGTTGAATAAAAGCCTATGAGTGCACCTATAATTATTCACATGATTTAGGAGTTAGAATTATAATTCTCTAAAAGATTTACTAAAGTTAGCAATAATAATTTTGAGCTTTCCTCTAAATTCAACAAATTCAAGTAGCATGGTAGTTCTTCTAATTAATGGAAGTCTTTTTAATGCAATGGTAGCACCGGATTTATCCCATGGAGTGAAGGAAATAGAATTAGCACCCTCTCCTTCAAAATACAAGTGAAGCAATGAAATTCTCATTTTGAAGAATTTTACAAAAAATTGCCAAGATCCTTGTAACTAAAAACTTCTATGAAAATTATAATTGAGTATGGATTGAGGCATGTGAATAGTCGATATTAGCTTAAAAAGATGTTTTGAACACAATGGTGAAGTTAGATTTATTAAAAAATACTTTCTTGATCACTTACAAGAGCCATTAGCCTCGGTAACGAGATTAGCACTTGGATGAATGAAGGCTATAGAT